TTTCTTCACCACATTTGCTTATGCACCCACTTTGTCTTCAGTGATTGTGTCAGGAAGGTGAGCATCATGGAATGCCAGTTTAATAGAACAAAGTGTTCTTGCATTGAGTAAGTACTTGAGTGGAGGCCCAATGTCCATCTGCTACCTTAATACTAAAGCTATACACATATGTACATAGGCCTATATCCATATCCTCATATATAAATATATTTACATATGTACATGCTTGTATTTAGACCTCTATAAATGACCTTTAACTCCTAGCTCTTTCCTCTATTTCCCTTTACTTTCCTCTTGTCCCACTAACATGCTCAGCCTTCATTTGGGTTTCAGTAATTCCTCTCGGTTACATTACCCTTGGTCACACCCTACCAGGCCTCTACACCCTCCTCACCACCGATTTGGATCCCTTGTTGTTCCCTGTCCCTGGGTTTGTTCACACCACTGCCTTTCACATGCTAACAAACTCTCTGGGCAATTCTTACCCCCCTTTTTCTTGTTGTAGTGTGCGTTCCGATTCAGTGCATTTGGGTGGAAATGCAAATTCTCAGCAGGGTGGAACAGGGAGGAACCAATTCGAAGCACTGGTTTAATCTTGGGCCTTCATAAAGCTCAGTGGAACACCAAAAGGCTTAGCCAATTAATCGTGTTCCTATGACTTTTAATCGACATATGCCCCCCCCCATGCCAAGTGGTAAAATTATGTCTTTTCCCCTCTAAAAGGCACATTTTCTGTTGCCTTAAATACTTCATTAGGTCAATTCTTGCCTATAACATCTCTTAGTATCTTTCAAGACATATTTAGTATTTATTTTCCAGTGCACAAGACATATTTTCTATGGATGAATGATATACCACTTAGCACTGTTGAACCATTTGATGTGCTCACTTGATTAAAAAGACTGAATTTTATTATTATTGTTTCCCCCCTTTGATTACTTGTAATCAGTTCCTTTCTAGGATTAAAAATATTTCATAGTTAAAAAAAAAGTCCAGCATAGCAGTAAGTTACCCAAGTTTAACGTTGCAGAGAAAGTGGATTTAAACCAAATGCATGCTCTATGGAGGTGGTTCTCAACCTGTGGGTCACGACCCCTTTTGGGTTCGAAAAACCCTTTCATAGGAGTCGCCTGATTCATAACAGTAGCAAAATTGCAGTTATGAAGTAGCAACGAAAGTAATGTTATGGTTGGGTGGTCACCACCACACAAGGAACTGTCCGAAAGGGCCGCAGCATGAGGAAGGCTGAGAACCACTGTCTGGGTCATCATCATGGACCACACTGTGTGAACTGGGTCTAGCTGAGATGCAGTGTAGGTGATTGTCCTCCCTGTGGCGACAGGCTGTGACTCACTGCTGCCTGCAGGTCATGAGGCAGGCGGGGGTGGGGGGCTGGGGGTGAGTCTCCTTACTGAAGGGACGGCACTTACTCAGCTCTCAGCTCTCACTGGGGACAGATGAGTTTCCCTGGGGTGTGGCCTGCAGCCCCTTTGATTTCACAAGGGATAAAAGAAGAGAGAAGCAAGCTGTGCAGAGGGGTCTGACTGATCCCTGGCAGCGGAGCCAGGAGTGGTGATCCTAGAGACCCAGGGTCCCTGCGCTGAGACCCTCTGAGACCCTGGGAAAGATGGGTGCTGAGGAGCGGGGAGTTCTCTGGGGAACACGGAGTCCGCATATGTTCAACGGGGACAGGGACCTGTCCGCAGAGCCTTCCACGCAGAGGGGAAGCCTTCGCCTAGCTAGAGCTGACCCCTGAATTCAGAGTCCCAGGAAGTGAGAGGGCAAAGTCCTGTCCCTGAGAGCCCTGCACATGTAGTGTTTCCAGGCCGGCAGCACTACAGAACCAACACCAGCAGTTTCTTGAAGTTTCATGCCATTTAGAGATTGTGGGGGTTTCTTGCCATTTTTTTTCTTTTTTAAAACATCCAAATAGGTCTAGATGCAAGACATCTTCCTAAATCAGGTTTCTAAAACCAAGAATGATAGTGAAGGTGTGGCCAGCAGCGCCTTGCACACAGAGGCGTCAGTGTGCCTCCTGGACTGATCAGCATGTGAGAAAGTTAAGGAATACAGATGGGAGCGCGGTTGCTGGTCTAATAAAAATAGTATCTAATATTTATATGTCTTTTTATTATTTAAAAGGATTTTCTGCATACTGTGTCATTTTGCTTGTCCTCTACAGAGACCTGTAAGTTTTGTAGGGATGCTACTTTCCCAAATTACAAAACTCAGGTTCAGAGAATTTAGATAACTTACTGGGTATCAAGTAATATTCAAACCTGGAGGAAAAGAAATGCTTCTACTTGCACTTCCACCCCACCCCTGCCTTTGAGAATTAATTTCTCAGCTGGGACTAAGCGTTTTCCCACACAGGCAATATTAACCAAGTTCTCAGAGAAGAAACACAGTTCGACAAATAATGCTAAAGGTATGCTAGCAGGTCACACACTGCAATTGGGGCCACAGGCAGCATTGCAGGGGTCGGAAGCCACATTCAGGCTTTTAGCTACAGAACAAGGGAAAGGCAGCCCGGAAAGGCCTAGTGGCTTTATTCAGTCTTTGGGTGTTCATGGCGGGTCCCTGGAATGCCTGTCTTCTATGGAAATGCCAGTTTTCCAAAGAAGAGCAACAGCACAGCTTCCCAAGTGTGAAGTGTCAGTGTGTCTAGAATGTAGGAGCTAACACACAGGCTCACTGCCACGGAGTCCATGTGGGCTCACAACAGTGGACCTGACAGAACTGTCACAGGACAGGGCGCGACTGCTGCTGTGTGCTTTCAAGGGCCTAACGCTCATGCACTCACTGACTCACTGACTCACTGGCTCACTCACTCACCAATACACTCACTCACTCACTCACACACACGCACTCACTCACACACTCATTCATGGTCATTCACTCACTCATGGTCACTCACTCATGGTCATTCATGCACTCACTCACTCACACACACACTCACTCACACACACACTCACTCACCACTCACTCACTCACCAATACACTCACTCACTCACTCACACACACGCACTCACTCACACACTCATTCATGCACTCACTCACTCACACACTCACCCAGGCACTCACACACACACTCACTCATACACTCACCCATGCACTCATATATCCATCCACTCCCTCCCTCCCTCTACCAGCAAGTCCATTGGCCTCTGTGTGCTCCCAGAGGTAAGTCTGTGCAGAAGGGGAAAGATGCATCTTTGTCCCATGATGGAGTAGTAGGTGGGTTCAAACTGGGTAAGGTGCAGTTAGCAGCCCACTAGGCAACCCCGATGCTAGCAGGAGCTAGAGGTATACCGAAAACCAACCCCGCTGCTCCC